CTCTAGCCACAGATCAGTAGGCGGCGCGTTGCTGCGGGATGCAGACGTGCAAGCAAGAGATGTTTGCTCCAGGCTGCTGCCTGGAACGGGGACGCTGCTGCCAGGGCTTGCAGGGTACCGCAGGGACAGCTTTTCCAAATTATCCCAGCCTCCATCCAGCTGCTCTGGGAACTGCAGAATTGATAACTGGGTGCTGAAGCCAACTGGCGTGGGTAGCGTAGGAGTGGGATAGAGCCGCAGTTCTGCTGTGCGAGTCAGCGTGGCTCGTGGGGTGCGTGCCTGGGCTGGGCTGGGGGGGTGCAGCGAAGTGATGGTAGGTAACGGCGCTTTGGTACAAGTGAAGCCTTACAGGGGCTGCCTTGGAAAGGCGTGCTGGGTGCTGGGCTTGTCTCTTCAGCCTGCTGATGGAGGGATGGAGCCACTGACAGGCAGGCGGACGTGCGAGTAGTGTCTGCGGCTCCACCGGGTCAGCAGGTTTAGGTTTCCAGCCAGGAGGTGAGAAGGAAAAGCCTCGAGGGCTGGGGAGGCAGGGCAGAAGAGCGTGGGCCAGACGGGCTGGGCCGCTGTTCGGGTGGGTTGGCAGCGAATGGCTACCTGCGCCGTTTCAGCGAAGGGACTCCAAATGTTGTGCATTGCATCGAGCACAAGTTGGAGTTTGTTGTTCCGAATCCTAAAGCTTATTCCAGTTAGCATCGTCTCATAATGTTTGGGTTTTATGGTTTCCGCTTCCAGAAGGTTCTGGCAACTTCATGGTCTTTGCATTTGTCCTTGGGCCATCTGTGAGCTGTCTGGACCTAATCAGCTCATGGCTATGGAAGTACTGCTACTACCACCGACAGTCTGTGTCTGTGTTGGTCCCTGAAGTGCTGTATACGTGCTTCTGCGATCATACAGGTCAGAGAGGTTGAGACAGACAACCTGCCCCCAGATTCGTTGTATTTTACATCCCCCTTACGGCAGGCTTGGTCACCCGTTTGATGGACATCTCTCTCTTTTCAAAGGATGGATCTGCCCTTAAGTATAAGCTTTGCGAAAACTGGGAAGTGCCGCATTGGAGCTCTTGAATTTGGACCACTTCCAGGCCTGACATCCAGCAGCTCATCCCTAGGGGTGGTAAACATAAAGAGGTAAGCTCTTTCCAGCGTCCTGGAGGAAGGGCGCAAGAACACATCAGCTGAGTACTTGAAGCTGCTGTTGGAGGTGCCAGATTTGTCAGGGCCGGCTGGGCTGACACCAAAGCTGCGTACCGTCCCCTGGTTTACTAGAATCGTCTCCTCGTGTGAAATGTGCCGCTTTGCCTGGGTGGTGAGCGAGGAGGGAAGCGGAATGCCCTGCGTCGAGAGCACTTACTTTGAAAAGCTCTTGAACTTGCAGTGCCGCAGAAGATCTGGGGAGACCTATCCTGCCTTTTAATTAGCAGGACGCCGGCTTTTTAGGGTCAGTTGCTCTGGCTGCGAGCGCCGTTCTCACTGCCTTGCAGTAGGGAGGTCGTGACGTGGTTGGGCGTTGGGGGTTTTGGGGCTTTTTTGGAGGGGAGGGAAAGGAAAGCAAATCGTGGCGTTGGCAGATCAGAAGCGGAACTAGTTATGCATGTGTGTTTCGTTGCACCCCTGGGCTGGCTTATTCCTAATCCTGAGAGTCTGCTCATCCTCCTTGGCGTGGGAGGCCATGTACACGTTGGACCTGCCGACCCACTGGAAGTTGGACCTTCAGGGTGATATCAGGAAACACTTCTCTAGCCGTAAAAGCTAATGTTAATGTAACTAATACTGTGCTGCAGGCCAGCAGTCACCGGTTGGAAGCTAAACAAATTCACACCGACTGAGGCCCTGACCCCTATGCAGATTTGAACCAAATGAACAGGTTGTGAGGGTGCTATTTTTGCATTTACTTTGAATTCGAAACAATGACACAGTGTCAGTTCTTAGTCAGTCAGACTTCTAGTACAGTGGATTTTCTTACAGGACTTGGGAGAATGACTCAAGGTTGGAAACTGGGACAAACAAGTTTTTTTTTTCCTGTCAAGTAGCATCTGCAGTCTTAAACAAATTATCTATTTGTTTGTTATTTTTAAAACTAGCCTGGAAATGAAAGACAGCTGCCTGCTTCTGTTTTCCTGCTTGAATTCATTTTCCAACGCAGACCCGTGAGATTGGCACAATTTCCGTTTGGACCCAAGAGGAGTGTCTGCTTGGGCAGAGTGGCTGCTGGTGGGAGCGAGGCTCCTT